TGATGATCTGGATGCACCTGCACCTACACCTGCATGCATGCATCGGCTTCGGCCAGTTGACAGTAAGCACAACTCATCTGACTCCACGTTTGGCCTCTTGGTTTGTGGTTTGGAGGAATTTCATAGGAATTTTAGAGGATAGGATTTCTTATAGGATTTTTTTTCCTTTAGAGCCATTTGGTTCATAGGAATGGATTCTTATTCCTACATACGATTGGTTCCTATCCTTCACATTTTATAGGAAAATAAAAATGAGCCTAGACTCAATGGAAAAATTCCTTTGATGTCAACCAAATGACATCGCGTTTCCTATTCCTACTCATAGGATTTGAGATACATGTCATCTCATTTCCTACAAAATTCCTATTCCTACGATAATCCTATCCTATGAACCTACTTGGTTTGCCATCTCTCAATATATCATCCTCCCCGCCATGGGTACCTGCATCTGCATGGACCATAATGTTTCATCAAAAATTAATTTTTACATGTGGTGATTAACTTTCTCTGTCAAGGGCTCTATTGTGGTGCATACTGAGGATCATCGTGATTAGGTACTATTGCACATTTGAATCAGTCAGGCACTTAATTAGAGAAACCTGGATCTACATGTAAGCAGATTTGGAGGGTTAGTGGTGCCTTTACAGATTTAGCAAATCCCTGGATTAGATTAATGGAATGGAACACTCACCAGTACAAAACTACTACTGCTGGTGCACTGTGAGAGCTAATTCAACCGAGGCCACCTTTTTGTTTCTTCGAGCACTTGGGTTCAGTATCACACGTTTTCATTTCCAGTTACGAGGGGAAAAGTGGAGTTTGTTCCTTACCTTTCAAGTAAGCCAGTACTGTAAACATTTAAAAAGTGAGTTAGTACTACTGGTATAAATTAATCAGCGAGGGACTCCATGCATGGCTGAATTTAACCAAGTAAGTTTGAACTGTTATCAGTTTAAAAAAAAGTTTGAACTGTTATCCAACACATGAGCATGCATGGATTTTAGCTGTTAGTTTGGACGATGCATAAAAACAGTCTGGCAACTGGTTTACCAACCGGCAGTGCATATGCGTGTGCATATTATACAGTGGTTACGAGATCCCTATCGGCTAGTACTATCATCGAGGCAGCGACTGCATTATTATTCCCAACGCTGACCGAAATGCAGATGCATGGGGGCAACCCTGTCCGTCTTTCTGTATCATGCCTTGGATTATGCAGCTGTGCAGAATCTACAGGAATATTCCTGATCCGTTAAAAATGGTGGAATTTTTTTCCTGTAACATGGATAATGAAAGGCATGCGCACTCGCAGCCAGAGTCAATGCGTCTGTAATAGTGGATTGGTGGTTTGGTTTCTAAAGTCAAACCAGTGTAAAGTGTCGGCAATGAATCCAATCAAGTTGGGTTGTGCACACGCCGTTGGGCCGTTGACCAAACTAATTTTAACTGCCGTTAGCAAGCGTACTCCCTCCGTCCGTAAATAAATGTACATCTAGCTTTTGTCCTAAGTCAAAGTTTTAAAATTTTGACCAACTTTATATAAATGAATAGTACTAGCACATATGACATCAAATTAATACATTATGAAACTACATTTCAAAACGAATCTAGCGATACTAATTTAGCGTCATAAATATTATTACTTTTTTCTATAAAGTTGGTCAATGTTTAAAATTTTGATTTAGGACAAAGTCTAGATGTACGTACATTTATTTACACACGGAGGAAGTACTCCTTCCGCATCATATAAGACATTTTTTGATTCTAGTATAGTATTAAAAAACGTTTTACATTATAGGACGGAGGAAGTATTATGTAAGAAACGAGGACGCGGGACGCAAAAATTGTCTTACATTGTCCAAGGAAATGGAACAAATAGAGGTCTTGAAAGACTTGTTGGGGAGTAGCGTTGCCTCCATGCTCCGCATGCGCGTGCGCCTGTCACGCTGCTCATAATTGACACATCTCATGAAAAGCACGTGAGAGTTCCTCGAGCCGCTGGTGTCGTAACAACGGAAAATATTTTTACCCATGCACGTAGAGCTTGTCCTGGGAACTCTCTGGTTTGTCCCCTCCCATGAAAAGGAAAGCGACGCCCCACCTTAGAGCATCTCCACCCGTCTCTCCAGAAAGGCTTTCAAGAGCACTTTTCCAGCGCCGGCGATTAAAAATGTTTTCACTCGCGTCCCCAGAAACACAAATATCACTGGATTTGGCCAAAACTACGGCCGACGCTCCAATCCTATTCCCAGGATCCCGGGGGGCAGCTGGGGAAGGAGAGAGACTACTTTAGTTGCTTTGGGCCCATTGTTAGCCTCCCACCCCCTCTCCCCGCTTTTCCTTTGGGCCCACCCACGTGATCTCTTTTCTCTTTCTCTCCCTCACCAACTCCCGCCCGCACAGAACGCCTCGCCGACGACGTCCAGCTGCGCCGGACCCGCCGAGCTTGCCGCCCCGCATCCTCCTCGCGCTTGGCCCTCGCTGCCGTCGCCGCTGTCCCCGCGCGGGCGCGGGGGGCCGCCGCCGCCGTGGAAAAAATCCCATTCCTTCGTGGTGTCCCAGCATCTCAAGGCTCACGCGCGCGCCGTCCAGGCACCGGAGCCCCGCGCCCGCCGCGCGCCGATCCCGAAGTGCTCCGCCAGGGCCGCCGCCGCCGCCTCCTCGTCCTTCTCCTGGCCGTCGTCCCCGGCGGCGGCCGGCCCGAAGCACCCCTGCGCGCCCTGCGCGAGGAGCACGTCGAGCGAGTCGACGACGCCCACGGGCTCCGGCGCGCCCAGGCCGAAGGCGGCGAAGGCCTCGCGCATGCGTGGGCAGCCGGCGCGCCGGATGCCGTGGCCCGCCCACACGCGGCCGTCCAGTAGCTCGAAGATGTCCGGGAAGACGTCCTCGAACGAGGGTGCGCCGGAGGAGGCAGAGAGTACGCCACCGTCGGCGTCGGCGTCGTCCGGGCGGATGAGGGTGGAGTAGCTGGAGACCTCGACGAGGCGGCGCGGGCAGACGAGGATGGCGGCGAACTCCAGCAGGCTGCACTCGCCGGGCAGCGACGGGGACTGCGCAGCCTCCACGTCGAAGAACACCATCTCCCTCTTCTTGGTGGTCGCCATTGGTTCCGACAAGCAACTCGATGGTGGTTTCTTGGCGATGAAGCTCTGTTTGTTTGTTTCTTGCTTGAAGGAATGGAGGAGAGGAGAGATGGGAGAATGGATGATCCCTGTCTTGTCAGAGGAGCCTGTCGATGGAGTTCTGGGGGCGCAACGAATGGAAAAAAATTCCACCCCCAGACCGAAGTTTTTGCCGGCAGCCCCTCAGGAGGCGGAGAAAATATTTTCTGGGGAGGCCAACGGCTGGAGACGCTCTTAACCACACCCACTGACTGACTCCCCGGTCCCAGCATGGCTACGATACGATCTCCTAGACACACAGCGCTTTTGCACGCCAGCCACTGTACTGCTCCCTCTTTCTCTGTGCCTACTCCTGCTGCCGCTGCCGCTGCCGCTACTGCTCGCAGCCCGCGTGCGCGCGCAGGCTCAGCTCGAAGAAGTCGCCACCTTCTCTCCCCCCCTCACATTTAGAGAGAGAGAGAGAGAGAGAGAGAGAGAGAGAGAGGCAGAAGCGCCATTTCCTCTCTTGGCACAGCCGCGCGCGCAAGGGCCAACGGGCGGGGATTCTTGGATGTGACAAGCCGAGCGAGCGATCGAGCGGAGCTTCCCTGATCAGAGCAGGCCGCCTCCCTCGCTCCTCTCTTCCATAGCCATAGGAGGGAGGACCGCAGGCACGAGAGGAATCAGCCAGTCGTCTTCTCCGCCGCGCCTTCTTCTTCCTCACATACACCCATCCTCCCTTCTTCCTCTTCACGGAAGAAGAGCTCAACCAGGAGGAAAAGAGGAGTCCTGTCACCTGTGGCCTCACGGGATTCACCAGGCTTCCCTCAAGAGGTGCGTGTGTCAACAACTGAACATGTCTTCTCTTCCTCGCCTCTTTCTTTCTATTATTCTGCAAAGCAGGATTTATTTATGTACTAGTATATCATCTTCTTGTATTGCTTCCATTTTGCTTTTTCCACTTCTTCCTCCCCTCAATATTTGCTCATGGGTGATTGCCTAGCAAGCTGTAGAGAGAGAGAGAGAGAGAGAGAGAGAGAGAGACTGCTTCTATTTATCTCGATTCTGGGACATCACATCACACAGCATTTGCCATGTGCTGTTACTCCTATGCAGCTCCATCACTGGCTGCCAAGTCTCGACATAGCCACTTGTTCTGCTCAAGATTCGCTGCTTAATCCTCTCCTTTTTACCTCGCTTTGTTTATATGCAGTTCTGGGCTGGGAATGGGATGGGAGATAGGGCCGCTTTGACTGTGTTGCTGGATCTACTCATTTATGCTCCTGTTTATCTTCCCACTGTCACTGAATCGAATCAATCAATCAAACCCCTTCCTTAAAACAGCACCGTACCTACTCTCCCTCCAGCCCTCACCCCTTGCAGCAACAGCTGCTGCCATTTATGTGCTGCTTTACTTCCTTTCAGCTAGTACTAGTACTAGCAATGTTGGGTGGGTGGGTGCACCAATCTTCCCATTTTTCCTCAACTTGAGTTCTTCTGTGCTTTCCTGGTTCAGCAAACGGCAGTGCATGGTTTTCTACTGTACTTCACTATCCTTCCTGTGTTTTCCACTGGCCACTGGGTACAGTACTTGTGTGTGTTCATTGTGAGCCTATAAAGGATTTGCAGTACACACTTGTTAGTAGTAGTTTGGATTAAGCCATCTACTGTACAAAGCTGGAACCTTTATTGCATTTGGTAGTTGGAGAGATCCTTCTTTCCCTTTTGGTAGGATATATAGCCCAGGTTGTCTGCCAGTGACTCATCACCATTTTCTCGCTTTTTCCAGTTCCACTTCTCTCCAGTCATCCATGTTTTTTTTTCTTGTATAAGACAATGATCGCCGTTTCTGAGTTGTGCTGAATCATGTGCAGCTGATGTGCTTTGGGAGCTACGGCAATGGCGTCGCTTGTGCCCGGGGTCCTCCTCAAGCTCCTGCAGCACATGAACAGCGACGTCAAAGTCGCAGGCGAGCACCGGTCCTCCCTTCTTCAGGTCGTCAGCATTGTTCCCGCGCTTGCTGGCAGCGACCTCTTCACCAACCAGGGGTTCTACCTCAAGGTGTATGATTCCTCGCACGCGACCTACGTTTCCCTGCCGGAGGACCAGCATGATCTCATATTGAGCGACACCATTCAGCTGGGGCAGTTCATCCATGTAGACCGTCTGGAGGCCGCCACCCCGGTGCCTATCTTGAGGGGAGTCAGGCCAGTTCCTGGCCGACATGCGTGCGTCGGCACTCCCGAAGATCTTGTCATGACTAGTTCCTCCAAGTTTCTTGGCGAGAAAAAGGCACAACCACCCGCCAACGGTTCCAAGGATGCAGGGGCCTTGTCACTAGAGAAAGAGCAGAGCAAGTTGGAGAAACTAAATGCTTCTGTGAAGAGCAACGGGATGGAAAGCAAGAAACCGCAGCTGACCAAGTCGAACTCTTCGCTTTCGAAACAAGCGCTGGCCAGCCTTTTCGACAAGAAGGAAGTGGTTACCTCAAAGGTGAAGTCAAACAATCCTAGGTCGACACCTTCATCGCCTACCAGTGTACATTCTCTACCTGCATCATTTGAAAGATTCTCAAATGACATGAAGCAGAGAACAAAAGTGAAAGGAGCAGACAAGTCATCACCAGCAAAGTTATCCTTGTTAGAAAAAGCAGCTTCTGTGTTGAAGGTTACTACAGCAGGGAGGAAGTCCTCTGCAGGCAACTCCCTTAGTAACACTCTGTTAAGTCTTGAATCGGGACCAAAGGCGTTGAGAAGAAGCTGGGAAGGGAAGGCAGATGCAAACGTCAAGGCCAATTCAGATTCAAAGGGAGCCAAAGCTGACAGGAAGTCTGAGATTAGAAGCACATCGGTATGCTGCACTATGCTTGTCGCTTAACTTGGTGAATACGTGTGTCATGTTTAATCTGTGCCTACCGTTCCTGATATAGGATCTAGAAGATTATCTTCTGAACATCTTGGTTACCTTCTAAGAATTGTTTAGATCCCACCAATGCTTGAACTTGCCGTTATTCATTTTAGTGCCCAGCTCCATACAGTATTCAGAATTACTAAGCGTTATTAGTTGTTGTTTTATGACTAGACTCCTAGACGAAGACCACCACCAGCAGCAGATGAGAAGCCCTCACACAAGGATGACACTAAGATTCAGACTCCTCCAAGGAAGAGCACAGCAAGTGCTCCCTCAGATGATTCTGACCGAATGGTGAATAAGCATCTTTCTCCTATAAGAAGGACGTCTGGGGTTTTAAGCAACCCCAATATTACAAATTTAGTGAAGATTGCTGCAAATAACAAAAAATTGACGGATGCAAACACTTCCTGGACGGCACTTCCTCCATCACTTGCTAAGTTAGGAAAGGTATGGATAGCTCACTGAAATGATCAATAACTGCTAATACTCGTCTAGCATTTCTACCTTTCTGGCACCTTGAGCATGCTGTTTTTTATGGTTATCTACTAAATAAATAAGTCCGCAATTGAAGTTTTTCAACTGATGTGTGAATATACGAATATATTCACTTCTTTTTATGTTAACAAGCTGAGGTCTTATCTTGCTGTTGCTCTAAATATTTTCATTTCATTTAAGCCATGGAATGATGCAAATATGGAACTGCCTGCTAGCAATGTACCATTTTTTTGCCAAGGAGGGTGTGATTCGATAACAGTTTGGTATGTGGTGGTTAAATGCATTACGTTATGTATTTGTTCTTCATGATTTTATTATATTTTGTTACAGGAGCTTCTAAAATACAGGGATGCGGCACAAATGGCTGCGGTTGAAGCCATGCAAGAAGCTTCTGCTGCAGAGAGCTTACTTCGATGTTTAAGGTAATTTTTATCCTCTCACTACATAATTTATTTTAGTGAGGTCATATATAATTAACAGCAATTCATGGCATTGCTAAGTCAATTGCCTTCAAGAGTCCAATTTTTTTTTCTTTTTTCTTTTTTCGAGAAGGGGGTTTACCCCAGCCTCTGCATCAGAAAGATGCATCCGGCTCATATTATTAAAAATAAAGTCCAGTAACAAAGTCGCCAAGTATCGAGGTGCGAAGATAAACAAAAAGCTCGAAAGAGCTACAACCAAAGCCACAACCGGCTGGCAAACACAATAGAAGCACTACATGCCTATCCTATTACATGACCGCCATCCAAACCGGTTGAAAATATCCCGCGCTACCATCTCCCATCGGGTAGACGCAGTAATCAAACGCTCCCTGGCCTCCGTCGGAGTGAGTAGCGACCACATACGGATGAATGCCGTGGCCCTGAAGATAACCTGCAAAAAGTGAATGTTTGTTGATTTGTTAGATACTAAATCATTTCTGCAGTTCCATACTGCCCAAAGTAAAGCACAAACGCCAACACGAATGTGTCTTGCAGTATCGGAATCAACCCCATCAAGCCATGTTTCAAATAACATGTTGATAGAGGTGGGCTGATTAATATTAAACGCAATATGAATTGACCGCCACAGAATCTTAGCCAACGGACAATCGAGAAAGAGGTGTTTGATTTTTCGTTATGATCGCAAAAGCTACACCTAGACGAGCCCATCCAGTTGCGTTTTGCCAGGTTATCCTTAGTCAAAATGACAGTCAAAATGACTTGTTTATGCTCAAACCACATAAACACTTTGATACGTAAGGGAACCTTTACTCTCCAAACGTGAATCGAGGAAGGGACAACGCTAGAGTTAATGACATCCAAATACATAGACTTAACCGAGAACACACCTTTCCTAGTAAGTTTCCAATACAGCTGATCTGGTTGCTGGGTCAGCCGGACCTCCATTAAACGTCTAACAAGGTGGAGCCAGGCCTCCCAACGATTTCCAACTAGCGTCCTCCGAAAACTAATATTGAGGGGAGTGGATTGTAGAACAGTTGCAACGTAGGCTTCTCTACGTCGCACAATGTTGTACAAAGTAGGATATTGAAGTGCAAGGGGAGTCTCCCCAAACCACGTATCCTCCCAAAACCTCGTAGTGGCACCATTCCCGACAATAAATTTTGACTTGTTGAAAAAAAGTTGTTTGACTCTCATCAAACCCTTCCAAAAAGGTGAGTCGGAAGGCCTCACATTTACCTGAGCCAAGGTTTTAGCATAAAGATACTTATTACGCAAAATCTGTGCCCAAGTAGCTTCCGTCTCAGACGACAGTTTAAATAGCCACTTGCTAAGGAGACATATGTTTTTGACTTCCAAATTTTCAATACCTAGACCCCCTTGGTCCTTCGGCCTACAGATTATATCCCACTTAGCAAGCCTATACTTTAGTTTGAGCTCGTCATTCTGCCAAAAGAATCGAGATCGGTAGAAATCTAACCTTTTCCTGACTCCCACCGGAACCTGGAAAAAGGATAAGAGAAACATAGGCATACTGGTAAGGACCGAATTAATCAGAATCAATCGTCCTCCGTATGACATGAGCTTCCCTTTCCAACAGCTCAGTCTTTTTTCAAAGCGATCCTCGATGCATTTCCACTCAATGTTAGTCAGCTTACGATGATGAATGGGTATACCTAAGTATGTAAACGGTAAGGAGCCCAATTCACATCCGAACAATTGTTTATACGTGTCCTGGTCATCCTTTGCTCTTCCAAAGCAAAACAATTCGCTCTTGTGGAAGTTAATTTTGAGGCCAGATAATTGTTCAAATAAGCATAACAGCAGCTTCATGTTTCTTGCTTTCGCCAAGTCGTGCTCCATAAAGATGATAGTATCATCAGCATACTGAAGAATGGAAATCCCTCCGTCAACTAGATGTGGGACCAGGCCACCTACCTGCCGTGCATCCTTTGCCCGACCTATCAAGATAGTGAGCATATCAGCCACTATGTTAAACAGGATCGGTGACATCGGGTCTCCTTGCCTTAGCCCCTTGTGTGTTTGGAAATAGTGACCTATGTCGTCATTCACTTTAATCCCTACACTCCCTTTTTGCGTAAAGGAATCAATCTGGTTTCTCCAGGCCGGATCAAAACCTTTCATACGCAAAGCTTGTTGAAGGAAAGGCCATTTAACTTTATCATATGCTTTTTCAAAATCCACTTTAAAAACTACGACATCAAGTTTTTTTGAGTGGATTTCATGGAGCGTTTCATGCAAGACAACAACCCCTTCAAGGATGTTTCTATCAGGCATGAAAGCAGTCTGGGACGGATTAACCACAGAGTGCGCAATCTGCGTAAGTCTGTTTGTCCCGACCTTGGTGAATATTTTGAAACTCACATTAAGCAGACATATAGGTCTGAACTGCTCAATGCGAACCGCGTCTGTCTTCTTAGGAAGAAGAGTTATCGTTCCAAAATTCAGCTTTAGCCCATCTTTTTTAGCTGTTCCATTCCTCCTTTCTCTGACAGTACCTCAACACTTCATATTTTCAAATGTCACCTTAGTCATAGGCTGGCACCTATGTTAGCTCTTATTGAGTCGATGCTGACAAGACGTTAGGAAGTCCTAAAAAAATCAAGAAATGAATTCTTCCAGTACAATGTACACCATATGCAATTATATCCAACTTTACTATATTACTCATTGTTAAGTTATGCTTTGAGCATGCAATATGAAACAATTTATAGATAGTAGTAGCATCCAAATTTCACATGGCTTCTAACCGTTGACAGCCTTGATAGTTGATACTCCACATCTGTCGATGTACACCTCACATGGTTCCGAAAATAATTCACACGTTGCAAATGTCTTGGCACTAGCTGGCTTGGATGCGGCAATGATGCCATCAACCATCTTGGCTGGCTCCCTCTCCCCTTTTGACCCATACACGGACTTTGTGATTACTTCTGCACATGTTTGGAGCTTACACTCCACATGTTCTTGTCGCAGAAAGCTAAGGATGTGCCAGTGTTCATCTTCACAGAGTGTGTGTCACTGTGTCTGTGTGCTGATTCTTGTTCAGAAGTACATCCTACTTGTACTTGATGCTGTAATGTTCCTCTAGAAATATTAACTGTTTTAAAAGCAAATGCATTGTATTTTCTTTTACCTCCAGCTCTGCTCACGTAAGAGTTTTACAGTAACACCAACATTACAATTCATCAAAATGTGAACTAGTACTGTGTAAAATTGATGCAGTAAGAACTTAATTACCTTCACTGTTGTTTGTTGGTCTGAGCAGCACGTACGCCGAGGTGAGCTCGACGGCGGAGGAGCAGAACCCGCAGCTTGCCGTGGAGCAGTTCCTCGCTCTGCACTCAGCCATGTCGCGTGCCACCGTCGTTGCTGACTCGCTTGCTAAGGCTGCCGCAGCGACCTCTACAACGACTTCACCGGACCGATCAACAGTGAGCGAAGCCGCGAGCATCGACGAGGAATCCCTTGCCGTTGCAGCGGAGCGCCGCCGCCGCGCGGTATCCTGGGTGGGCGCCGGTCTCGCCACTGACCTCTCCGCCTTCTCCCTCTACAACCTCAGGCCGCCCCCCGCCAATACGTCCTCCCCGCTGGCCGTCGTGCTCGTCGACGAGTCGGTGAAGCCGGCCGCGACAACGAAGGCATCGCCACCAGCGAAGTCGCGGCTGTCGCCCGCGAAGGGGAAGGGGAGAGCGGTCCATGTCGTGGCGGCGGCGGCGGCAACGGCCGCCCCACCGCTGGAGTGGGAGAGGGGAGGCGGCGCGGAGGAGAGGGGCGAGCTCGCAAGGCGGCTCGGTGAGGAGGCAAGGCGGTGGTTCCTGGAGTTCGTAGAGCGGTTCCTTGACGCCGACGTGGCGGCAGCTGCGCCATGGGACCGCGACCGTGCGGCGAGGATGCTTCCGCAGCTGAAGCGCGTCAACGACTGGCTCAGCGAGATCGGGAAGCCGCCCCCGGTGGCGGTGGAACCTCCGCCCCACGACGCGGGCGACGAGGAGGTCGCCGCCGCAGCGCCCGCCACTGCATCCAACGGTGTGCCCGAGCAGACGATAGAACGGCTGAGGAAGAAGATCTACGAGTACCTCCTCACCAACGTCGACTCGGCCGCCGCCGTGCTCGGCGAGACGTCGCCGGCGGCAAACGGGAGGAAGGGGTGACCTGGGCTGTGCACATTTCGTGGTGGCACTAAGGAGGTTTCGTTGGGCCGGGCCTGGTTGGGGCAAGAAGTGTGTCTCACTTTTTCACAAAGAAAAATGTGTGGGCCATTTAGTGCGATTTTTCATTATCTTTGCCTTTTTGTTTTTAAAGTTCACAGGAAAAAAGTGGAGAAAGTGGTGGTAAATGGCAATGTGTTATGTCTTCTTCTTTTTTGCGGGTGGCAAGGTGTTATTTCATTCATGATGAAGTTAGATTAACTTTGTGTCATGAAAATAGTGGCAAGCTTGATCTCAGAAATCAAGATACTTTTGTAATTTATGTAAGAGTAAATCAGAAAAAATATTTTAAAAATATACCAGATGGATTAACAGTAAATACTGGAGCTACTATATTTTGCTCCTCGTCCCAAAAAGCAAGTTGGTTTTACATACATTTTAACACTCGCGTACCTAGCAGGTGTGCCGGGTGTGTCATGGCAAACCCAGAATTCTAGGAAATATTTTTTACCATGTACTCCCTCCGTAAACTAATATAAGAGCATTTAGATCATTATTTTAGTGTTCTAAACACTCTTATATTAGTTTACAGAGGGAGTAATAATTAGCTGATTTTCAAGGCTCATCCAAGCCAATTGAATATAGACCTCATTTTTTAAAAGTGTGCACACCCTCCATTTTATTTTGGGTTCGTCACTGCTTTCTAAAGTCCAGCTATAAAAAAATCCTTCCGGATTTATCATGCATTAAAGTTCAAATATCTGTTTAGTTGAAAATGAGAGAGGGTCTATTCAAAGTTTGAATTTATAATGCAATTTTTTGGACCTAATCTATCGTAGTTGGACTGTTTTGCTGATGAGGTGAACTTGAAAAAAGCAAACAAGTACTCTATTTGCTTCGAATATAGATTTTTATTTTATTTCAATTTAAGCTTTAGTTGTATTCTTATGTATAATATGTTATGTACAACTATGAAAGCATAACCATAAAAAAATATTTCTAAAAAAACTTAAAATAGTTCCAAATAAGAACCCAATTGTTTTAGTTATGTTTCATACGACCGTCTCAATAGTTTAGTAATTGTTGGTTCACGCATGAGTGCATGATCTTATACCATTAAAGCGTATGTTTATTTTTTTAGAGTGAACAAAATCTCATATTGAGAGGAACTTATAACACATCACCAAGCCTTTGGACTCTTACTCTGTTTTATAAAACCACAACTTTGTGCTAATAATTCATAGAACCACATCTCATGATGTTGGTCATTGGTGCATGCTCAAGCAACGAAGAAGAAAAATAAGGACGCTGACATGTGTGAACAAATTCACATCCACGGGACAATTCAATGTTGGCCTGCCTTGTAGGCACAACATGCCAGATTGGCTTTCAAGCAGGTGATTTTAGTGGTATGTGAATGAATAACGCAACTGCTGTGGTCCTATGGAATAATATCCGGTGATTGTTATAAAAGTAAATATGGACATATTCAACTTTTGTTTTAAAAAAGACATGACTATTATCCAAACCAGCAATATAAAGATCACCGGAAATAGGAGAAACTACGTCAAAATTCATGGGAGTCGACAGTCTTTGTCCTCCATAATGGGTTAATGGCACACTTTCACCAAATGATGCTCCAAAATCAGAGACATTGTGACGTCCTTGCTAAATAAGAATGATAGACTACTCATATCAAGAAGGTGCGCCTTCTTTTTTGGAAACTCATCTTCAAAGAACATGCAGATTAAGTGTGCTTGGCCTGAAGTAATTTGAGGATGGATGATCGATCCAGAAGTTTCCCTGGATGAACATGAGTGAGCACAAAATACCTAGGGAAGACTAGTGTTGGTCTTATGGGGCCAATCTAAATCCCGTCAGGTGTAATGCCCAAGAAGTGATGGTTGTGATCGAGGTGGTATTAGAGCCAATCCCCGCGGTTACACGAACATGTGCGGGTTAGGGTGTGGGCATGTGGCGCATGATTCGTGTGGCTAGTCATGGCACACGGCATGGCATGAGGATGTCGATTCTTTTGAGTAGGGGTTATATGTGACATCATGACATAAATAGGCATCGTAGATTACTCATACTAACATGTTGCCCTTCTTTTCTGGAATCATATCTCAAGAACTATTAGTTTATAAGCGTGTTTGGCTTGAGATAATTTGAGAATGGCTGACCGATCGAAAAGTTTTTCTGGAGTGCGCCCAATTATAAGTACAAAATGCGCTAGAAAGGCTAGCGTTGATCTATGAGGTCAGTCTAGATCTTGTTAGGTGTAACGGGAAGAAACCGGGGACCGTGGCCGGGGTGCTATAACCATGGACAAAAAGGCATCATGGGAAAGCTACAGCTCTGTCCTTCGCTCTAGAGAAGAAGTCGTCGCCAGATAAGATTTTTTTGTGTGTGCTGGAGCTGCAACTATAGGAAGGGTTGAAGTGACAGACTGCAAAAACCTACATAAAAGCCCCACAATGGGAAAGCTACAGCTCTGTCCAGTAGATTGGAGCATCCCCGCGCTGACATTTCCAACAATGGATGAGGAGGCAGTGGCCTACTCCTGGAGGGAGGGGGTACGACGACGTGGTGCGTCGAGATATCGCCTATCGGAGAGGAAGGGTCCAGGGAAAAAGTTACATTGTCATTACAAACAAAAACGTATACGTTTAATATATAACTTTTGACTTTTCACATTATATCACTGAAACCATGTACACGGACTGTACTAATCCTATATGAGTTTTTATTTTGCGATAGTAAAAGAGTTTTATTCCAAATGCATAGGGTTACAATCGAGAGGCGACAGTTTCTCAATACACGGTGGTCCAGCCGGAAATCTGTTGGTGCTTCTGGGAGCGCGCGCTCCTGCCATCGATAAAAATATTTCAAAGTGTGAAAAGATTAAAAAAAATCAGCACATACATCTCGACATTATATGTGTGCACATTAAGTTTCGGAGAAAATTGACATTTTTTGTGGCTTGTGTAAAAAAGACAAAAATTATGTTTTGTGAAAAGCACTTTTTAACACCGAATTTTGTCTTTTTTACACGCGACACATAACTTATCGTTTTTTTGTGAAACGACTTTATGAGCATGTACAATATCGAGATGTAGACGTCAAATTTTTGTTTGGATTTTTTTGACATTTCAAAATATGTTTAAAACACATTTTTAAAAACAGGAGTGCGTGCTCCCATGTGCCAAAACGCCATTCTCGTGGTCCAGCTCTCAAATTTGACCAAAATTATATCGTGTTTCAAATTTCAAGGAAAAGCACATGCATATAAACAATAGAATACAAGCATGCCCATTGATACAAAAAAAATGATCATTTGCAAGATACGATAGAATCACAACATAAGTTCTTTGCAGTAAGTTAACTAATGGCTTAAAGTATAGGTCATGTCCCCCCAAGGAGAAGTACCGTAACATAAGCTTGATGCAAATCAATTAATGTTGTGCCCATTAAGAAACTGAATGCACTCTCCATATTTAGTAAATAAGAAATTACAATTCATATTATTTTTGGGTCGAATTGGTACTTTTTTGCATTGTTGTCATCATGTATTTACACTTGTTAATGTACAACCTTAATCCTTTCCACAAGTGCATCATGATACAAATGCTAAACGTTTATGGGTTGCCCTCCAACACACCTCTCTTTTTGCCAAAACGTGTATGAAGATAAGCTTACATTGCAAGTAAAACGTGTTGGCGTCATGTTTTCCTATATATATTTTGCACGGTTTCACTCTCATCCACCAAAGGCCCAATCTCCACGAGATAAACGGTGCAATGCCCCGTGTGTTTTAAATAGAAATCCTAACGAGTGTCCCTGCGATTTTCCAGGCCTCTTCACTGTTCGTCGTCCGGAAAATAGGCGCACGCGAGTCCAACCTGCAAGCCGATGAACAGAACGAATAGGCCAGGGATTCTCTTCTTCTCTCTTCGTTTGAATCCAAGGTGGTTGCTGTTTTTCCTCGCGTGATCGATATAACAGAAAAATGCTGCGATCTTTACGGGTTTGTTTAGATCTTGTCCTTTTTGCAGTGCCTTCCAGACCTCAACGGTTTCCGTCACGATTCCTGACCACATTCTCTCAACTCCGTAATCCAAGAAGAACGTTGGATAATCTAAAGAGAGATTCTTGGAGCCAAGAACATGAGCAGGTCTCCGGCCCCGGATGGCGGCGGCGGCAATCGCTTGCCGCCAGTGAAACCGTCGGTGTCGCTGTCACCGTCGCCGACGGGCCCTCCGGAGAGCGACATCAGCCACATGCCGGACTCCCCCGCGCGCAGCCTCGGTCACCGCCGCGCGCACTCCGAGATCATCGGCCTCCCCGACGACCTCGACCTCGGTGTCCCGGGCTGCGCAGGGGACGGGCCGTCGCTGTCGGACGAGAACGAGGAGGAGTTCTTCTCCATGTTCCTCGACGCCGAGAAGCTCAACGCGCAGCTGCGCGAGGCGTCGGAGACGGAGTCGTCGTGCGCCTCGGCGGGCGCCGGCGCGGGGCCGAGGCCGCGCCATCACCACAGCCATTCCATGGACGCGTCGAGCTCTTTCGACGCAGAGCAGCTGCTTGGGGCGCCGTCGGTGGAGGGGATGTCGACGGTGGAGGCCAAGAAGGCAATGTCCAACGCAAAGCTCGCAGAACTGGCGCTTGTCGACCCAAAGAAGGCAAAAAGGTTTGGTCTCTTATCTTCTCTTCTTGCGAAATTCCATCAGTAGGATTATCCACTGTTCATCACAATTTGATAAGTACATTTTTTTTCATCCCAGGCTATTTCTTATCGAGTTTTTACAGCTGTTATATGGATGAAGAAAGAATGAAAGGGGTCTGAAATGCTGTCAAAAGAAACGAAATACTCCTTCCGTCCCAGAATATAAGAACATTTTTGTCACTAGGAGTACATAGAACATTAGAAGATTTATCCTGGATCAGTTTGGAGCATTAGATGGAAAATGAACGGCCCACATTATGTCTTCTTCCTCCATGCGTTTTCCAGATTGCATTTTCTTATCCTCCTCCCGCCGACTGCTGCCACCGGCCGGGCTGCCTACTGCCGCCGCCCGCGACCGCCCTCCCCTTAACCTCCCCCACCGCCGGTCTTGCCGCCGCCCCGGGCCATCCCTCTAGCCCCGCCCGCGTCCATTTTTTTTCTCTAGCAAAGCCCCACCACCGCCCGCACCCTGAACCCTAAGATAGATAATGGGGCGATGACGGTGAGCCCCTTCCTTCTCTCTGGCGAGGCCCTTCCTTCTCCTTCCTCCATTCAAAATCGACTGACCCGAATTCGAAATTCAGCTGACTGACATGTAGCCAAACTGGTGTTTTTAAGGTCAAAATCTCTCGGATGAAAATGCTTCCTAGCCATAAGTATAAGCTAAATGCACGATGTGATCCGAAGAACAGGCAAATCTTTACCTAGAAAATGGCAACTAACCCTAGTTAGTCCTTCTGTTCGAAAAGTTCCTAATTATCTATGTTTACTTAGTCTCCATAATTCATGTGATAGGATTTGGGCTAATAGACAATCGGCGGCCAGATCGAAAGAAAGGAAGATGCGGTATATTTCTGAACTTGAACGGAAGGTGCAAACCCTGCATGCAGAAGCAACAACATTGTCAACCCAGCTGGCACTTCTACATGTAAGAACTGCCCCTCCTCAACTTCTGTTATTCCTCTTCTCCCAATATGTTTAGAAATGTGGAAGAATATCTTGACCTATCTGTTTTGATCGGTACCTATAATGCTTGTTTATACGGCAAGAACTAGAACTAACTAGAAAATCTAACAGAAGAATACTATTACCCTTTTGTGTTTGGATGCGGATCATGCGTATCCCTCTCCTGTAGATTTCATGTAATTTCACCATCATAATGAAAATTGTCCAAGCATGTCATTAGCTACCTTCAACAGGTAGACAATGCCATCATCCCTATGTTTGTGTCAGGTAGCTTTATCCACCTTGTTAGCTGCTAGGTAGTGGTCTGCATCTCAGTTCCCACTGTTATGGCTAACAACAGAGAGAAGAAACAATTTGCTTGATATGACTGAGGGTGTGTTAATTATGAGTCGATAGCTAACCTTGTTCAGATAGCTAACCTTGTTCCCTTTGCCACATTGGTAAATGACACAGAGAGACACTGCTGGGCTCTCTACCGAGAACAGCGAACTGAAGATGCGCCTGCAGAACGTGGAGCAACAAATCCACTTACAAGATGGTAAAGTCAGTAATTCCAGTTACTCGTTGTCTTTCACCTTCTTCGTTCTGCCACGAATGTAAGACAATCTTGCATGTTCACCGTGGGGGAGAAGGTGATTAAAAGGTGTTGTGAACTTCTTGCTCAGCTTGAGGGGCGCTCTAGCGCATACAAGAAGGAAAGATAATTTGTCATGACCATTTTGTGGTTTTTCGTCGAAAACTTACCATTTGCTGCTGTTGTTGCAGCTCTGAATGACGCACTGAAATCTGAGCTGCAAAGGCTGAAGATGGCGACGAGCCACATGGGCAACACCGTTGGGGGAATGATGAACTTGATCGGCCCACCCCCGCCGCACTCTTTCGGAGGGAACCAGCCAATGTTCCACATTCAGGGCCAGGCTGCAATGCAGCCATTGCACCAGATGCAGCAGATTCACCCTCAGCACCAGCAGCCGTTGCTGCATCCGCTGCAACTGCAAGCACAGCAGCTGCTGTTGCAGCAGCAGGCTTCTGCTGCACCACCACCCAACCCGAAGATGAAACGGGCCATCTCCGCTCCGAACCAGTGGATTGGTGGGTGGTCCGAGAGCAGTGGCAACTGATCGAGCTCCTGTCTGGAATACAGGAATTTCACAGGGATACCGTGAAACGAAAACCCCCACCAGGCAAAATTCATGCTATCTGTCAGAGCCGGGTGGATTCAGGGGGTTGTGGGGCATCACCCAAGTGTAGATTGATCACCAGCAAGTATATAGCCTATATATAGGGTTCAAGGCTGCTCAAGTTACGTTCAGTTGTCGAGTCTTCCTTCTGAAGAAATAGTTCTGTTCTTATGGGGTCTACAGGTGCGGATGTTTGTTGAAGGAAAATGTTACCAACTCATGCAGATTCTTCGGATTTGAGAACTTCTGGGGTCTACAGGTGCGGATGTCTGTTGAAGGAAAATGTTACCAACTCATGCAGATTCTTCGGGTTTGTCGATGCGCTGTCAATCTGATTAGGAAGCTGGTTTACAAAGGAAGATGCTGCTGCATTTCTTAATCTCATGCGCTGGCCTTTGTATGTACAGATTGTTTTCTTTGTTTTGATCTGGGGCCTTTTCATCGTGGATTCATGGTCACTTTTGGTGACTGGCAAGTTTTAATGTCCTCTCTGCATTCTTCGAATACAAAATGATGCGTATTTAGCAGCATATTCATAGAAGAAACAAAGACAATCTGTCAAGTGTAATTTATACTAGTGATTTAAAAAAGGTTCACCAACAGAGTACGTTTATACTAGTTGAGTTGATTGCGCAAACCACATGTTTTGGGACTAGGGTTCCACGTAACCACATGCCTTGCAAGTAAAAGGGAATCACAGATCCCTCAAAAAGGAAAAACACAGACCCATGAATTTTTATTGAAAGACTAGAATATGTATTAAGAAACTGCTCTATTGGGTGCTCCATGTTCCTTTTTTGGTGAGCGAATCTGACACATGACTGAAATGCACACCAAATATCCACATAAAACACTGGGCAATTGAGTAGAAGGATTAGCACATATCTTTATATCACTAAGGCTACATTATTCCATTCACAACCAAAGGTTGCTATGCACTTAATACAAATCATCATAGTTTTGTATATTTTGCTGCCGAAAACAATTGTCACTCTACTCACATGGTAATTCACAAAAAGAAAATCATTCTCTTCAGTTGCCTCCTGTAAAGATGCAAGATGATGCTTTCACTCATCATCGTCAAGACCAGGTACGAACAATAGGTTGACGTCAAATACGACGGGGCTGCTCGGAGCCACTCTTGGCCTCCCGGGAGCTGATGTAAGGCCCTTAGGGAATGCTAACTGCTCAGATCAAGAAGATGGGAAATCATCACTATCCTGTCCAGATACCCCAGACTGAAGAAACACAGCGCATGATCATTGGAGGAAAAGGTAAAGTTTTCTTGCACAACAGCTAGTTTTGTTTTGTTTCGTTTTCGGCATTGCTCTGTTAAACTTGACAAGGCAAGACTACTTACTTGACCGGGTATGTACAACCGACGTAATCCTCCAACTTTCATCGACAAGATCCCTTCATCAAGTCCCTTTATCACCTGACATTGCCAAACATATGAATGAGAAGATAGAACACCATGCCAAATCTGAAACTTTGAAGCTATGAACTGCATATATGTAAGTATATGACAAATTTAGATTTCCTAGGGTAAGCAACGAGGCAAAACTGCTTGTTAGTCCAGAATTGCAGATGATAAAGATGAGCATGAAATTCATTTAGGTGTGCTACTATTAAAACAAAGGGTTATATCCTTTGAAGATGAAGGCGAGACCATTCGGCATGAATGGTGAGCTATATAAAAAACAATGAAGATGAATGCGGAGCACTGTCAATAAACAGTGTTTCTAGGTTCAGATCAATTCACAGCTGTGTGGGTTAATTTTAGTCGTCACTTCCAGAGGGGCATGCAAATCGGTTGATGCAGAGGCCAGGGTACTCCCCTTTCCAAAAAAAAGAGGGGCATGCAATGCATCAGAGCCTGCAGTAAATACCTGTCCTGCGCCAACACGGAATATGTAGGGCTGGCCTTTCTCCAGCGAGCTGCACAACAACACCAGGACATGGTAAGAGGACGAAGTGTTACTGACCAATTATGTGCACGCTGAATGCACGGTCAGTCTGTCACCCATCAAATGCGCTCAGCTCAGTTATCTCTCACCTGTCGAATATCTGTCCGTTTGGCACCATGGCGATGCAGTTTGCAGCAACCTACACACACGGTGATCAAGAAGCTTACGCGTTGGCAGGCAATCGTCGAAAGAGAGAGCAAAAAGAAGAGGTAATGGTGAGCACCTGGAAGCCAACGGGCGGACTCGGCCCTTGCCCGACTTTGATGTCCTTGTACTGCAAACCGGACTCCGTAGTCACCATAGGCAGCTGAAAACGCAGGAGAAAAATTTGCGGCCTGATTCCATGGATTTTGCAGGAAATACTGCATGAATCAAGCAAACGGAATACTGCATTCCTATGATGCTGTCATGGCGAACGTACATTTTCGAGCTCTGCCTCGCAGGCGGCGTCGCAGAGCTTGGGCTTCTCCTCCGGCGGCAGCCCGCCGGCGAAGGCGTCGAGCGCGGCCTGCAGGCATAACGCGGACGACGACACCCCCAGAACCACCGCCCCGACCACGCCCCTCCGGGTGACCACGCCACCGTTGTCGTCGTCAGCTCCTCCGCATTGCGCCGCGCTTCCTCCGCCAGCGGCAGCCCTCCTGCAGCATGGCGCCCTGCTGTTGCCACCTCTGATGAACGCCCTGCCGCCGCCGCCGCCGCCGCTGGGAAGCCAGGCCCTCGAGCTAGCGCCACGCGGCCCTGACGGGAGGAGAAGCGGCGAGGCCGAGGAAGAGGCAGCAGCAGCCATTGGATTAGGGAGAGGGGGAGGGGGAAGGGGAGGAGGAGGACGACGGCCCGGGAAGAAGACCACGGACGAGTCGACGGGAGAGAGTGGATAGAGCAAATTAAATCCGCGGTGGCCGTCCAGCCTCCACCACTCGCTTCGCGCGTGCAACACCACGCACGGGGCACGGCGACCGGAATCAACGGCCGTTGCGTTCGGCTTTGTTAAATCAACGCCGCTAGAGTTTTTATCGTTCTTGTACGGGACGCTTATTAATATTATTTCTGAACACATTACAGACACAACATTTATATATATGCGCATACCCTTATTTCTATGAACACACACGTACACCCTTATTCTTACGAGCATCTCCGAAAAATTGAGGTGACATATTTTTTTAGAAGAAAATGGTTGCGTCCCTGTTCCATTCCATTCAGAAACGAAACAGCAATTCAGTACAAGTCTTACAAGGTAGGTTTACGGCGGACAGCAGGCGGACTGCCGCAGTAGCAGCAAATAAAACTAGAAAGTAGAGAGTTGCAGACATAAAGAGAAGGACTCCGGTGACATACGCCCCAGCCTAGACAGCAACAAGAGAACATCATTCTTTTAAACGTGTAGAGCTGCTAGAAACTGCAGATTCTTCAAAGGGAAGGACTTCAAAAGGTGTCTCCACGCCTCAGCCAGGATCTGGCCACAGCAGCAGAGGTGGGCTTCTCGCTTTCATCTCCAGTTCTTTCGCGGCCCACTCCAACTTGTCCTTGACACACCCTGAGGAAAGGCATTCTCATGTAGATAGATTTGATGCAGTTTTTCGCCAGATAGCCTGCATGTCAGGCCAACAAACATTATTGAAAACCATGTCATTGCGAGTTTTCCAGATTGCCCACAGCCCGGTTGCATGAACAATATTAGTCGCAGCAAAACTATCTCCTCTCATCCAGTACATGGAGATGGACATTATATTAATGTCTTCATTAATCCCAGTAAGGACACAGATGGCTTTCCAGAATTCAGCAGCAACAACACAGGTACTAAATAAATGAGAACAAGATTCTTGTTCAGAGCAAAATACACAAGTAGGGTCACCTACATCCTGCCTTTTGCACAAGTTGTCTCTGGTTAGCAGCTTGTTGTTAGTTAAGAGCCAGAGAAAAATCTGAATTCTAGGTGGAATTTTGATCTTCCAAATAGCAGGAGAACCGACAGGAAGCACTCCCCTGAAATTAAGAAACTTATAAAAGGATTTAACAGAGTAAACTCCTTTGGAATTCATATTCCAAAATGGGGAGTCCTCTTCTACTATGAGTTGGATAGAACTGGCAATTTCCAAGAGCTCGAACCACAGAGACATAAGTTCCTGGGTGAAACATCTCCGAAATGTAAGCTTAAGGTTACTGTCGTCCCAGATTTTATCAATGGTGGCATTTTGCTCATTAGTTAGAACATACAGGTCCCAGTACTGGGTAACCAGAGTGGCATTACCAAACCAATGATCCTCCCAGAATCTAACCCTTTTGCCATTGCCAATCTTCCAAGAGAAGCCAACCTTGGCAGCTTGAGCTACCCAGAGCACCCCTTTCCAAAAAGGGGATGCTCCAGTATTGGGACAAGCAAATATATTACTCTGAGGTTTGTACTTGGAATCAATAATATTTTTCCAAATTTTACCCTCGGAGTTATAGTATCTACTAATCCAAGAAGCTAATAAGGCCAAATTCATGTCCCCAATGTCAGTAATCCCAAAGCCCCCAAACTCCTTTCTCATGGTAATGGAATTCCAGGCAGTCAGGTGGTATTTGTGGTGGCCCTCATAATCATCCCAAAAGCAATGAGCTAGTTGGGAATTGATAAGTTTGATGGCCTACTTGGGAAACTTGATGAAACCCATGAGGTAAGATGGAATACTGGCTAAACAGGCTTGGACTAAGATAAGTCTTTTGCCAAAAGAAAGAAGTCTACCTCTCCACCCAGCAACTTTCTTAATGATCTTATCAACAGTGGATTGGAGATCTTCCTTCCCGATCTTGCTAAATGGAGAGGGGCCCCTAAGTACTTAATAGGGAAAGCACTTAGCTTGCAGCCTAAGGTTTGAGCAAAAACTAGTGCCTCATCTCTATCTATATTGATAGGGACCAGGTCACACTTGTGAAAATTAATTCTCATGCCAGAAATCTGCTCAAAACATGACATAAGCCATTTGAGGTTTTTGGCATGGTCAAGGTTATTATCTAAGAAAAGTAAAGTGTCATCAACATATTGCATGCTAATTACACTAGCAGGATTAGAGGGGGGGACACCAACAATTAAATTTGCTTTAGCAGCTTTAATCAAAATTCTAGTAAACATATCAGCCACTAGGTTAAACAATAGAGGAGAGACAGGGTCTCCTTGTCTAGCTCCTTTGCCAGCTATAAAATAATCATTGTTGGTGTCATTGATTCTGACTCCCACAGATCCATTGCAGAGTAAAGATTCAAGCTTATACATCCAAATAGGACCAAAGCCTCTCTTCCTCAGCATTTTCAAAAGAAACTCTCTACTGATCATATTATAGGCCTTTTCATAATCTAATTTAAAGCAAAAACCAGACATTTTGTTGGAGGCTACTGCATGCACTACCTCATGAGCAGCCACAATGCTTTCAAGAATAAATCTCCCTTTCAGGAAAGCAGTCTGGTTTGGAGAGATGAGTGTATTACAAACAGGACCAAACCTGTTTGTAGCACACTTAGCAAAGATTTTAAAACTGCAATTAACCATAGCTAGAGGTCTGAACCTATCTAGTTTAACTGCATTAGGTTCTTTAGGGACCAAGGTCAGGAGGGAGAAGTTGAGTCTATATAGATCAAGTTCTCCAGCCTCCCAATCTCTAAAAAGAGCAAAAAGATCATGCTTAATAAAATCCCAGTATTTCTGGTAAAAAAGAAAAGGAAAGCCATCAGGGCCAGGTGCTCCCTCAGCATATGAGCCAAAGACAACAACCTTGATTTCCTCCTCAGAGAAAGGCTTTTCCAGCAAATTAAAATGATTTGTGGAGAGTAAACTATCATGGTCCCAAAAGTCATCTTTGAGATCAATATCAATAGTAGGCACAAAACCAAACAACTTATTATAATAATCTACAGCTATCTGCAAAATACCTTTAGTGTCTTCAACAGGACCTGAGGGGGTTTCTAGTACAGCAATCTGTTTCCTTCTCCTTTTTTGGTTGGCTACTGCTTTAAAATAGCCAGTGTTAAGCTCTCCCTCTAGAATCTCCTTCTCCCTGGATCTCTGTCTAGCCTTGATCTCCTCCTTTCTCCAGATCTCATTTAAATCACCTGCAATGTTTTTCATTCTTTTCTTAGAATTAGGAGATAAAGGTTGGGATTCAGCTATAATATCCAAACAATTGTATTCGGCCACCATAGCCTGCTTATTCCTGTTCTGGTCTGCTTCATAGTTAGCACACCAGCCCTTAGCAGCTTTTCTAGTGGTTCTGATTTTAAACTGCCAAATATCAATGGCTTTGGTGGCATTACACTTGGTATTCATTTATCAAATCTAAAAAAATTAGATGAGGAGGTGGGAGGCCCAGTGGAAGTGTTCAGCACCAAAGGGGTGTGATCACTACCCAATCTGGGTAGAGCTTTCATGGAAGCCCTAGAGAAGAGACCCTCCCAATCAACAGAAATAAAAACCCTATCTAGGGTGGCCATGATAAGGTTGTCTTGATTATTAGCCCAAGTAAACCTTCTACCAGCATTTTTAATCTCAATGAGCCCAAATTTGTTGACCCGGTCATTGAACAGGTCAGCCCAGTGTTGATTAATGGTGCCAGTACTCTTCTCACTAGTGTTTCTAACTAAGTTAAAGTCACCCCCAACTAAGGTGGGGCCAGACCACTCAGCTAGGACACTATTGAGTTCATTTAAAAAATCAGGTTTAAATTCATCATAGGCAGAGCCATATACAGAAATCAATCTCCATTTAGTGTCATTATGTTTGAACTTCAAAATACAGGAGATGCAGAATGTGTGAATATCACAATGTAAAATGTCAAAACTATCTTCTTTAACTCCTACTAGGACACCTCCTGCAGTGCCAACAGCAGGCAGCCAATTCCACATAAATCCATTTCTAGAATCAATAGCTTCTAGTTGTGGAATAGTAAAATTGGCTTTTTTGGTTTCAGATAAACAAAAAAAATCAGGGCAGCAAGCTTTTATGAGCTCTTGCACTCTGGTGTTCTTAGAAGAGCCATTTAGGCCTGTAATGTTTCAGAAGGCACCAATCATAAGGAAATATTCTTAGAGCATCTATTTCTACCATGACACTTCTTGGACCTTTGATGGGATACTTCCATCCAAGGAATCTCACCCTCCTCCTCCTCGGAGTTATTTTCAGTGTAGGGAGGAGGGTTCATCTCAGTGTCACTACTAGTATTAAAGCAATCAACTCCATTGACATCAGTGTTAGGAGGGGGGAATAAGTCAGGGTTGTCTTGTTGAAAACTAGACAGCCTCTCAAGTTCTTTTTGTTTAATAATCTCAATATTATTAAAGCAACTAATGGGATCATTCCCAAGTTTTAAGCGAGATAAATCAGCATTATGTAAAAGGTCCAAGAAGACCGCCGATGCCTCCCCCTTCGCTCCGCTCCGCCGCGCACCCAAGCCACCACGCGCCCACCGCTGTTGTACTCCCCACCGGCGACGCCCCCACACCTCACTCGCTGTGACACCCCAAGACCGGAGCTTCAGATGCCTTCCTTGTTTTTCCGAGTTTCGCCGTGTGTTTCATTTGTGCTTGCTCTTTTATTTTTTGCATTGCATCATGTCATCATGCCATCACTCTGTGCAACTCAAATAAATAAATTGTATGAATCTCCGATCCATTTAAATTGAGGGAAGGGTTACTTCTCTTTATAACATACCCTCCCAATATTAGGAAGCTATATTAAATATTCCGTTAACTTGGAATCATCCATAACGCACTTGCAAAATCCCAATGCTCTAGTCATCACAACTCTTGGCCTCT